GACACTTTTGCCAGGAGACAATTTGAGTCCTGCTAGAAATGTGGCATCCCCTCCCAGCCTTTCCATCCATGCCTGAGGTCAAACAAGACCCAAACCCACATCTAAGTAAAGAAACTGGGATTCTTTCCTCATGATTGCAGTCTATATTATTGGCCTAAATGTAAGTCTCCCTACAGAACTGGAGATGAACCTGGGACCTGGAAAGAGGAATCCAGCTATGCGGTTACTGTGTCCACCATCACCCAATTGCAAAAGAAAGGATTGAAGCTCTCCCCTTAGTCCTAATCTATTTTTCCCACATTGAAAAAAAAACACTGATAAGTAATCCCTACTGGAAAAGAAGAAAATTGTAACAGAAATTAAGTCCTAGGTGGGGTTAGGGCAAAGGCAGGGGATGGTCAATAAACGAAAATTGAAGAAGGAAAGTTCTTTCCTTTCTTTTCCATAAAGGAAAAAAGAGAATAGAAGGGGAAAAAGTGTTTGCCTTTCTTTCAGAGTAAGAGACGGTTAGGGTTAGAGTTTCCAGGGTCTTGTATTCAAGGTTCCCCTGTATTAGGGGATTGGTTGATGAAGGGCCTTGTAGTAATGCACTTACTCAAAGAGGTGGCTAAATGTTGTCATGAGAACCTTGGATCTGTAGCTCTCTGACTTGGATTAGTGTGTAAAAGTTGCCTGGGTGGAGATTTTACATTAATCACTAAGTGTCCTTTAGAAGAGGATTTGAAGAATTCCTTTTAGCAGATGCATTTCAAAATAAAGCTAATTTCTCACTGAAAGCTCTCTATGAGAAGGCCCAGTTTGTTTCAAAACAGACACCATAGTGGAAAGGGCTGGATGAGGAGTTAGACGATCTGGGTTATATAATCTTTACTTGGTCACTTAACAGCTATGAGACATTGAAAAAAATCCACAACTTTGCTGGGCCTCAGTTTCCTCCTGAAATGTGGATAGTAAATCTTCATCCTCGGTAAAATTTCTGCAGAGTTATTTCCAGGCCTTCTCCCAACTTGGAAAGGCAAAGATGGAGCAGGGAAGGAAGTCTTGTGCCCTGCCCCTAGAGGAGATAAGTCTTGAGTTTCCCCAAGATATTTTGTATCTGATTGTTGACAAAATTACTGAGATGAGCTTGTGAACTTTTTATTTCACAAATTCTAAAAGCAGGTGGGAATTCTGACCCTTTTATTAGATAGATGAAGTTCTGAGAGGCTAAGTGATTTGCCCAACGTCACACGGCTACAAAGCACGAAGCTGAGATTCAAACCAAAATGCATCTGACTTTGAGTTCAGTGTTCATTACTCCCCATAAACTTGATGAAAGAAGAAACAAGCCCAACAAAGAAACTTTTTAACTTTATAAGTCCAGGAAGGAAAAGCTAAAACAACAACAACAAAAATATCTGCCTTGGCTGTGTTGGAATATGCACAAAAACACAGCATGAGTGCAACAGACACAGTCTGAAGATTTCCAAATCAATTTAACACCATTTTCCTAAAAAACAAGTATTACTAAAATGGTGGATGAAGTGGATCAAGTAAAATAGAAAGAATATCTCTGCAGCTAGCTGGATTAGCTTAGTTAAATTTAAAGACAATTCTTAATTTTCCCTTGTTTTGCAGCTTCTGTACTCTGATTAAAAAGAGTCTCCTTTTAGATATTCACTCATCTCAGGACAATGCCTTCCTAATACCTCCAAAGGCACACAACAAGATTAACTAGAAGCTTTAAAGAAAATCTGTAATATTGCATACAATTGACTCCACGATAAGAAATACTTTTTAAATGTGGTTTGGTTTCTGCAGAAATAAAAAGAGCCTATCTTTATCCATCAACCAGTTTGAAAACCAGACGGCCACCATTGCTTATTCTGTTTTAATATTTCTCTGCACATTAAAATTTGCCGTTCCTTTCCCATGGCAATTCAAAGGTTTTGTACAAAATCCATCACGGCTAAAGTAAATCCTTAGTTATACATCTTTCTATTCTCTGATGATTAGGGCTGTGTTTTTGTTATGGTAAGTAAGTATCTCATAGAAGTCCAGAAAGTCCTTTTTAGTAATCGTTTGGAAAGTCGCTGAGGAAAATAATCTCTTTCTAACCTTTATGTTAGGCCTATGTGATTCTTTTCTCCAGGAATCCTTGGACCAAGTAGTACAAGATAAGCTTTGTAACAAATTTGGATGAGTTGGGCTAACTCTGGCCTTAAGCAAATGAGTGGCCTTTTCAAGAAGATACTCTTGTTGGAGGAGAAGGATGTTCTGCACAATTAATGTTTGCAAGAGGGTCATTGAGTAGGTCACATTTTAACCGGTGGCAATATATCACTCAACATCCAATGGCAAGCTGATGAAAGCATTTGATTGGCCTCAGCCATATGAACCCAAAAGACAGGAGTTTCTGAACCTTACAAGGAGCGAGGAATAGCAAGGGACAGCTTCTAAAAAGGGCTGTAAACCTCCAAAAGAGCTAAACCTCCAACTATTCCAACCTTCTTAAACTGATGGCTAAACAAGCAAGTACTTGTTAGCCAGCCATTCTTCATAGGTTGGCTTGTCAAAAGGAGGTCCCTCTGCACAGTGTAAATCCAGTATTTTCATCTAATTCTGTACCTGAACTGACCTGAGTCATTCAGAGCCTCAGTACAGCTGGATCTGTTGGCCCCCTGGTACGCTGACTCTTCGTGAAAGAAAAACTCAAGACATCACGAAGATGCAAGCCCGCAGAATGTTAAGGCTAGAAGAGAATTTTGATTCAAAGTGGAACACCCTCCCCACTACCTTCTCAATTTTTCAGATGAGGAAACCGGAAGCCCTAAGAAGTGACTGAACAAAGTGCACAAAAGTGTCCTCCTAACTCCAGACGCTGTTTACCCAGTTTTATCCCACTTGCAAAGGGAAAATGCCAAGATGTCTGGTTTAATATTAAAACTAACTCTCCCTACTTCATTGTTTGGTTTCAAGGAGCTGCTTGAAAGCAAAGTCCTCAGCCCTCCGCCCCCACCCTCACTCCCACCTCCACCCCCACCCAAATCCCCAGCTTAGCAGTTCCTGTTTTCTCAGTGTGGCCTTCCAGCTTTCTGTCTCCTCCCCTCCATAAGGGTAGGTCCAATTACTTGGCAGCCCACTTAGCATAGCAAAGAGCTGAAGTCCAGAAATGTTGTGTGGAAAAACCAGAGGACCCCCAGTTGGTGCTTTGTTCCTCCCAGCTGTGCTTACTTCCCAAGCGGAGCTGCAATCCCCTCTGCTGTGGCTTCCCCGGGTTTAGGTCAGGACCCAGGGAGACTATTATTACATAATTTTGCATTGTACCTCAATGCAAAAAAAAAATGTATGAAGGAGAAAACCTACACCTCTTTTTCCCTTTCCTTCAATGGAAAAATGGGTATCATCCCGGCTGTTCTGTGAACTGGGCCTTACTCAGGACAATAGGCTTCTGAGGACAAGGTGATTAGGCTGGCAGTGCAGTGTTTGATTAGCGCCAACCAGCTCTTTGTAGAGGGACAATATCAGTCTGTACAGTAACAAGATCACGTCTTTTGATTTGGGTTCGCTCCCTCTGTTGATACAATCTATTATCCTGTTTGCCTTTCTTACTACAGCAAGGCAGTGCACCAAGGGCTTCAAGGATTTTTTCAATAATAACCTCCAAATCCCTTAGCACCTGCCTTCTGCCAAAGAACCTCCCTCTTCACCTCGGCGCTTTTCTTTGTCCTTTCAACATGACTTTGAATAGTTAGGTAAAGCTATACTCCCATCCCAAGGAAAAAGAAAACTAGGGCGACAACTACAGGGCTTCAAATTTAATAAGAAACAAAATTAGGCAGAGCCATTGAGTCATTGTTTGCTTAACCCTTTCCCTGCTCCCCCTGTTTTAGTTTCACTGCACCATCTTTTCAGTCTTTTCAAAAGATTTGATAAAGAAGACAAGTTCCAGAGCTTGAAGCAGCAGCCAAAAGATGCATCAATAGATTTGGTTCAAAACAGGCAAATACCATATCAATTTTAAACACACACACACACACACACACACACACACACAATATGAAGCTGCTTATCTCAGGCCCCCAAATTACCAATTTCTAAAGCTGAAAAGTGAACCCACCCAGAATTTGTTCAGACTTCCCAAACCTCCGCTAACAATTACAAAAGATAAATGGAATAGCTTGGATTTTAGAAGTTCCTTCTCAACTTTGAAGATGTGTTCATATTTGAAAACATTTCACATCTGACAACTTTCACTAAAAAATACACATTCAAAAAAATGTTTGATGTGATCATTTGTGGCATTTGCTGATAAAACTAGCTTATTGATAAGGGACCAGAGACCATCAGGAAAATAGGACTTGTGGGGAAATAATGGGTTGTATTTTCATGAGGACTAGCATCTCCCCCACCCTTAAGCTCTGGTAGTATTCACATAATGCAATGTCTTGTTTTCTGTCCCAGCCTCTCCCCTAGCATCTTATTTATATTTTTGCAAGATACTCCTGCTTCATTATGATTCATCCCAATTTGGACTGTAAATAGAAAGCAAATTAATAATTTACGGTGAAAAAAGACCTGGGCCATTTTCTCTTCCCTTCATTCCTAGGTCAGCCGGCTCATTTATGAATTAGTGTTCAAGCAGCCTGAATAGCAGAGAATGAATGTTTGACTAAATCCTCTAAGTATGAAAGCTCTTCACACCATTTGGTCTTGAACTGATCCAATAGCGAGGTGTAACCACTAGTGACAATAAAGCGCCATCTGGCAAAGTGAACTCTAGGCAAACAATGACAAGCAGAAGTGAAAAGAATTGCAATGATTTCCACAAACATGTGAAATACTATAAACTGTGGGACTTAGCAGCTTCTTCCCCAGGCAAGTAAACAAATGCAACACTTCGTCGGTGGCGCTGATGTGTGGGGCTCCATCTCTGCCAGCAGGCTCGGCTCCATTTGCATTTAGCTAGGGAAAAAATGTATGCAGATTGGCGAACAAAAAAATATATAAGCACTACTAACCAGACGTCACTTTTCCTTCGCTCTTTACTGTCAGGGTGATGTACTGGAAGTCTTTATTTCTTTCAGCTTGGGCCTCTCGGTGCCTCATTCTCCTTCCAGCTCGTTCTCATGCCTTTCTCATCACCTGCTGAGGCCTTGATCACGGACAGAGCAGACGAGCAGCGGGGGGACAATTAGAGAGGAGTTCAGACTTTGATCATTTGACCATATGTGAATACAACAGCTGACCACATGTTTTAAAAGACAACTAACTTAAATGTATTAAAAAAAAAAAAATCACAAAGCAAGCATAGATACTGAAATTTACATTTTAATTATCTGGCACAATGCTGCATTCAACTTTTTCAAAATATTTAATATGGAAAAATACATCTTGCCCCTTCAAAATAGGAAGAGAAAGCACTTTTCTGCATTTTCTCCCCACCCCCACCTCCTCTCCCCCTGCAAACTGTGTTCCCTTTCAGCAAAACATTTAACCACTGCGGATGGTGAAGAATTCTGTGCTGGAGATTTCAAAAGGCACATTCAAAGCTGCCAAAAGTTGGGCATGATTACTAAAGGTAGATGAAGCTTAAAGTAAGCACAATCACATATTTTAAAAAGTGATTTTATAGGAGAAAAATCTCTGTACAGCACTCGTAACATACACTAGGCTTCTCTAAGTGAGAGGAACATACTCAAGGGTTTATCTTCACTTCTCTAATTCTTTACAATGACAATTACACAATCCCAAAAAGTGTGTTCTAAATTATGTGAAAATCAAGTAGCTTTCTTAGCAATAAAACTATTGAATACTTGGTGAGATAGAAGACAGTCTCATTGCAGCCACAGTGCACAAATGAAGACTTATTCATGGTTCATTCTATCAAAATATTGTCACTTCTTTCCTGGTTCTCTTTCAACTATGAAAACTGAACTGATTTCACTTTGGCTAGGTGAAATGTAGACATATGACTATCTCGCTTATAACCCTTTCTTGTGTTTTTGTATACAATCGATGATTTATCAGTGCTTCTGGAGATATAGAGCCCTTCTTATCTTTTCCACCTACTAGATAATTAACATATTCATGAAATGGTTATTTACTCTCAAATAGGAAGATAATAGAAAAATAACACTAATTGTTTTGACAGCAGTTTACTTAAGAGTTATCTGGGAGAACAAATGTTTCTTTTGTAGTGTTAGGAAGACAAGCATTTATCTATGTATTAAGCTTATTTTTCTTCTTATGGTTAGACAGACCAAAGTGATCTTGGGTGAAGAATAAAAAGTCTGGAAGAAATAATTTAAGTAAAATTTCATCTGATATTCCCCTAAATATTTTGATAGTCCATTTATTTTTTCAATTGTGAGGGAGATTAGCAAGGTGATTTACATTTTAATGGCTATATAGGCTGATGTGTTCATTATCTACACATCACTGTGTTTTTAAAATGCATATGACCTTTTAATTTTAAAGAAGCCCACCTGTTTTACTTTACTTTGGTACCATTTTAAATATAACTGATTTATATCCATTATCAGATGAGCTTTAGACATGGGGATTCTTATTTTAGGGCACAATGCATTTTTACTTTGAAAGACTTCTTTTTAATACACTTTTGAAACAAAGGTTCCTGAAAATACATATTCCCCTCTTAAGTATGAGTGTCTTTATCGGGGATTCTATATCATCTTGTGACCTTGAGCATGTCATCACCCTCTCTCGGCCTGTTTCTTCCTATGTAACACAAGCTAATTAAACTAGTCGATCTCTAAGTGCTCTTCCAGTTCCAGAGAATCTTAGATTCTATGATTGGATTGCCAAAATAAAGTTCGCAATAGAATCTTCATAAGACTTACTTCTCTCCACAAAGAACTTTTCCCAGAAGCATAGAGGGATAGGTTAATTAATCTTTACAATTTACCTACTATACACCAGACACTACAGATATTATCTCCTTTAGTCCTTACCACCACCCTGCAAAGTAAATATTACTATCTCCACTTTATAGATGAGAAAACTGAGTTATACAGAAGTGATGTACCTTGCAACAAGTCTCCCAGTTAGTAAGTGGTAGAACCAAGGCCTATCATCACATGAGAATTCTCAGTGCTACACAACATTCCCTCACAAAAAGATAATGGGTCTCAGAAGATTAACTTTCTTGTCCCACCTTATCACCAATTGTCCTGGGACAAATCTTCTACTTCAATTTCCTTAGCCCATATAGACATTGTGTCGTCAGGGTTGCATCACCTACCTCATGGATAGAGACAAAATTAGAAGGGTTAACGGTGAACAGAAGGCAAACCATGCACTTCCTCGAAGATGGCAGGGGAGACACCATTTCTGAACACAGAATGGCATTTGGTAGTTGAATTGAGACGTTGAAAAAATAATTTCAACTAACGACACTTCTGATGGTTAAAATTGTGTTCTGCAAAATGGAAGATCTTTGGAAAATAGAATTCATAGCTTCTTTTGATCCAAAGTAGAATTTTCTGAGAAAGAAAATCCTACAAAATGAAATAAACTGAAAAGTCAGCCCTGAAAACATGCTTTATTTTAAGTTTATATGTACCTAACACCCTTAAAGTAAACACAGAGAAAATCAGCCACATTTGAACCCAACTGAGGGATCTTTGGATTCACTGACAAACATAAGACAACTTCCCTGAATGTCCATTTTAAACCAATATTTTGGTAAGAAATTTTTTTTTAACTTTAAGACATGCAAAAATATTCTAGGGAATACAATGCAATAATTACATGAAATTTAAAGATAAAATTCAAAGCTTTTTGGCTGGCAGCTTCTTAAAAGGCCCCAAGACCCCCTCAGAAAAACAGATTTGCACATCCTGCTTCCCACAAAGGTACTTCCTTGGGAACCCTGTGGAAGTAAAGTGCTAGAATGGCCTTTCCCTAAGAACAAGAGGAGAACTTTGAGAAAGGAATCAGGATTAACTGAACCACTTAGATGAGGGAGCAATGGACTGGTCCACAGAGCTCATTCGTGGTTTTCCTACAAAAAAAGATTTTTCCAGCCGGGCAGAGTGGCTCATGCCTGTAATCCCAGCACTTTGGGAGACCAAGGCGTGTGGATCACCTGAGGTCAGGAGTTCAAAACCAGCCTGACCAACATGGTGAAACCCCCGTCTCTACTAAAAATACGAAAAATTAGCCCGGCGTTGTGGTGGGGGCAGGAATATCGCTTGAACCAGGGAGAGAAAAGTTGCAGTGAGCTGAGATAGCACCACTACATTCCAGCCCGGGTGCCAGAGCAAGACTATGTTTTGGAAGAAAAAAAAAAAAAAGATTTTTCCAGACTGTGTGCCAGAGAGCAGGAGCATCCCAGAGGAAGGAAACTAGGAGAGGCTGAGAATTTCAGGTATCAAAAGTGACAAAGAGGCCGGGTGCAGTGGCTCACGCCTGTAATCCCAGCACTTTGGGAGGCCAAGGCAGGCGGATCACGAGGTCAGGAGTTTGAGACCAGCCTGGCCAACACAGTGAAACACTGTCTGTACTAAAAACACAAAAAATTAGCTGGGTGTGGTGGTGTGTGCCTGTAATCTCAGCTACTCGGGAGGCTGAGGCAGGGGAATCACGTGAACCCGAGAGGCGGAGGTTGCAGTGAACCCAGATCGTGCCATTTCTCTTCAGCTAGGGCGACAGTGCGAGACTCTGTCTCAAACAAACAAACAAACAAACAAACAAACAAACAAAGATTATTTGCTTGGTGAAAGTTTGGTCAGGAATCCTCTACTAGGCCCATCTGTGCATTTCCTTGTAAAATCTAGCTTCAGAAAACTAGCTAAGTCACTTTAGCAAGAATCCCCATCCTTGATATCTGATTATCCTCAGTGATTATCTGATCAGGGTCCTCAATCCTCCCTCATTCCCCAAGGGATGTCTTATCACCCTGACCTGCTTTCAGCAAGAATCCTGTTGGGTTGGTTTAGCCAGAATACCCCTGCCCCAGCTGTGGCTTCTTAGCAATTTTCCATCCTGTGACCACCTCCACCCTGCTGCTTGGCTATTCCCACTTGCCCATGCTCTATTTGGAGTTGAGCCCATTCTCTGTCTTCCACCTCAAGGCTCTGTTGTAGTGTACCTGTTGCCATGGTCCTAAATAAAGTCTTGCTTATGGTGCTTTAGTAAGTATCATTGAATTTTTTAACATAAAAAAGGGTATCAAGAATTATAGTTGGGGACCATGGGCATCTTACGTGATTGCTGCAATTTTATAACTTTCCCAAGTTAGTTATTTTTTGCTTACCTACTTTTCATAAGTAATTTGCTATAAAACCTTTCCAGTTTTATTTTGTAATATTTTGGAGGCCTAGACTCCCTTGGAAAATCTGAGGAAGGCTACAGAACCCTTCTCACCCTTTCTGTCATCCCTAAAGAATGCACAGAACCGCAAACAACAATTTGCATGCAATTTCCGGGAGTTCCCAGCCCATCTAAGAACTCCAGGTTAAAAATCCCTGTGGTGACATACTTAAAACAAGTGCCAGCTTAAGATAACAACGTGCCATTTTCAATTATCAGATTGGTAATAGTAATAAAAGGCACAATAATTCCCAGTGTGGAGAAACAAGCAAGTTCACATGCCACTGATGGGAGTATAGATTGCTGACAACTCTTTGGAAATTTCTTTTTATGCACACCCTCTTTGAACTAGCATATCCAAGGATGAGAAACATCAATGTGTACTAATAAGAGGGGTATTAAATAAAGGCAGGAATAGCCATACTTGTAGTGACAGTGTTCGTTGCATTGTTAAGCAATGACACTGTCTCCTCTCTCTATAGTCATTGTGGTGAATGGCTGGGGGTAAGAGAGGCAGAGTTGGTGGTGTGAAAAGACCACATTACGTAGGGTACCTGAAGTTCATACTAGGGGTTTAGTTGCTGAGTTACCTAACATGCCTCCATATTAGGTAATTCATGAGCCAGTGAGAGTACTGGCTAGAAAGGAGAGCGACTGTGGTGCAGTCCTAAAGGACTGTACTAATCAGGAGGGCAAGCATTTCAAGAGTAGTTCTTAATCTTTTGGGGGTCAGACACTTCTTTGATAATGTAATGAGAGCTAAGGACCCCTTCTCTGGAAAATACACATATGCATATTTTTTTGCATGTAAGTTCAGGG